GAGCTCTAAGTAATGCTGCATTTTGGACAACATAGAAACAGTAGCAGCAATTTGTTCCAAAAAATGTTTATACTTACAATGTTCCAGCAACTATTCCTGTATCAGCTTGACTTTGATTATTTGCAAATAACCTTGCTAGCCCAAAGTCTGAAATTTTAGGGTTCATTTCTTCATCTAACAGAATATTTGCAGTTTTTAAATCACGATGAATAATTCGATATCGAGAATCTTCATGAAGATAAAGAATTCCTCTTGCAATTGCCCCTATGATTTTGTATCTCGTGTCCCAATCAAGTTGTAATCGCTTGATTGGATCTACAATTCACCAAGTTAAGAGGTTTAAAAGCATGCCATTTGAAACAAAATATTCAAACATTTTTTGAAAAGGGGTTGCAACCATACCAAATATAAAGTGGTCAAGGCTTGAGTTAGGAACAAACTCATAGATGAGAAGCCTTTCATCTCCATCCAAGCAAAAACCTAGCAGCCTTACCAAATTCCTATGTTGAAGTCTTGCCAATAGCCTAACTTCATTCTTAAATTGCAGCTCTCCTTGAACAGAATTTGTCGAAAGCCTCTTCACAGCTATATCTTTTCCACTTTGAAGCGTGCCCTGAAACGATTTGGCATAATAATGAACTCATCAATTTGGAAGAATAATTTCCACCTCATCAATTTGTAAGTACCTTATAAACAGCACCAAATCCACCTTCTCCAAGTTTGTTCACTCTGGAGAAGTTATCAGTTGCAATTCTTATTGTATTGAAATCAAATTGTAAAGCTTCAGCATTGTCATCTTCATCTTCATAGGATAGAAAAAATGGAATGTATGTTAGCCCAAACTGAGATGGAAAAGGAAAACACCACTACTCATAAATTCAAGCTCGAGCTTTTAAAGTCAATACACCTGAAGAGTTATTAAGCTAATTAGTGCTTCCACTTTTCAGTTATCAAGATTATAAGAAGATTACTTGCAAAGTTGCAATATTTTTTCTTCTTTCTTAATTAGTTTATCATCAGCTATCCTACACTATATGGAAACAAGACCAAGAAAAGAACTTACCTTCAATTTCATTCAGCGGATGCCTTCTCTTCTTTGATTTCCTCAACCAGAAAAAGAAGCAGATGCAGCTGCAAATGATGAGAATCAGAAAACCAACAACTGAGACAACTATGATTATGATAATCCGAGGTGAATTCTCATTTTCTCCTGCAAAATCAGAGAGTCCTTTCATTAAATAATAATAATAAAAAAATCTGAGTGCTATGATATTTCAGAATTACAGTTGACCCTGAAGTACCTGGTGATGTATTTGGGGTATCATTTGAGGCCGGAGGAGACAGAGGTGGTGCTAGTCCATCAGCAGTTAGATTATAGAAAGGAGAAATCGCAAACCTAAGATTGCAGCTTGGCCCAAATATTCTAACACCTTGCCAACCGTCACAACAATCTGGAATTTGTCCAATGGCATCACACAAGCATTCGTTGCATTGAGGCTGGGACATATCTGGAGTGCACTGGACAAGTGCAAAAATGTTCTGTAAAGCTGAAACAGCCGCCGTCCCTGTCGCAAACTTCAAAAGAGAATCACCAGCCGCTGCCTTGCTTCTCAGGCTTTTCAACAGAGGACTCAGGACACCATCAAAAACACTGGCATTTGCGACTTTATTCCCATCCGAAGAGGCAAAGGAGTTACTGTCCAAAACACCAAAGATGGAGCGATTTGCATAATGAAACATACAATTCTCATTCCATAAAATTGCTTCCTTCTCGTCAGGACAACCTTTTCTGAGCTCAGTGGTAGCATTGTTGAAACAGCTGAGACAAACATCAGGGTTCGAAATTAAATCACCTCTACAAAGTGCAACTGCGTTAACTTGGTCTGGGGTTTGGCCGAAAGAAACATTGTAGAACCCATAACTGTTTTCTGAGTTAGAGGTGAAGGAGGAGAAGAGACGATTGAGGTTTGTTTGGTATGTGCTGTTACTGTTATCATGAAATCCAAGGCACCTTACCCAACAGCCAT